AAAAAAAAAAAAAAAAAAAAAAAATGTTTTTAGTGAAGGAAGATAATATTCTTCACAGAGGTGATTTTAGCAAGAAGAGAAAACATTGTGACTTAAGCAGAAGAATTTTAAATAACCTCTTGCACGTTGAAGGCTTCAAGCTTGGCTCATCAGAATTAGCAAATGAATCTTTCTACCCCCTTCTCAGGAGAGGTTGAAAACACTCTTCCATCTAGATCCTTGTTTTTTGCTTTTTTTCCCCCTTTAGTCAATCTATCCACAGTCTCAGCCCAAGCTTGCAACTGTGTCACGGTTAGGAATCCAACTGCCTGATGAAAGCCTGTTTAAGGGAAACAAACTCAGAAAATTCAACGGCTCGCTGTGGTTGTTTTCCTTTTTCCTTCTCTTTTTGTTGTTGCTGGAAGAAAGTTGAGATGATGTGATATGCGGATGGAGATTCTCCTTGCTAGCCTAGCTTCAGTCTGGCTTTTTCTTCCCTCATGCATGCTGACCTGGGAATCTTCCTTTGCCATAGCTGCGATAATCGTGACTCAGCTTACGACACCTCACATTCGCATCGCCCCTGCTGCAGGCGACGACCAGCTGACAGGTCAGACCTTCAAGTATAGATGAGTCATCTTGCCCATTTCCTGCTCATTTTTCTCAGCTTCGTTTCCCCTCTACATCTCCTCCTTCGCTTTAAGGCTTGTTGACAATGTCTCCGACTCGCGGTACAGACCTGTGCCCGCGTTAAATTAAGTGGTGTGCTCGGCCTCTTCTGTGTGCACATGTATACCCCTGCATTCAGCACAGCCCCGCTGCATGATCCCATTGTCTGTGTGTCTGTCGGTATGTTCCTTTCTAGCCTAATGTTATACAGAATGAAATTTGCTGGTTTTGCAATGGCAATGCCATCAAAGAGGATTTCAATCAAAACATATAAAGATGTTTTCCCAGTTATCCAAATTAATCCAGAAAGGCGTCGAGATCTGAGCGTGAGAGGTTTATTTTCACCTTGTAGGGTCTAGTTTGCACACCCATTTAGCAAGCCACAGGCTCGTCTGTCAGTGCTGTTAAGTGAAGCCACCCAAAGACGTTGGGGTGATGCTGTTCAGACAGCTTTTCAAGTTCCTACAACTGGAGCAGAGCTGACCGCATTCCTTATAGATCCTTGTTTCAAAGCACACTGTTTGTAGCAAGCAGAGGCACATCTGCAAGTCAAATGCACTGAATAATTTAGGGAAGTTTTTAAAAAATTGAATGGCTTTGAGTCGTGGAATTGAACTGTGTGCCTCTTTATACCAAGAGAAGTTAGCTTGTCCATTTGAACTGCCTCTAAAGGTATATGGACAAATGTATAAACTTATATAGGAAAAGAATCCAGTACATTACTGCATATCAAAGGTGAGTGGTTAGAGAATGCCGGAAGACCAGCTTTGGTCCTGCAAGAGAAGCAAGCCATTGTCAAGGTTTCTAACTCAGTCACAGGAGCAGGACTCAAGTTCTGCTTTCAGAGGCATCCCCAATATGGTAGTTTGTTGCATGAGTTATAGGCGTGAGGAAGCCAAGTAAGAAACATGCAACTGCATTCCATAGAATTTCCACTCCTGCAACTGTTTTGTGTGTATGAGATTAAGGCATATACCCTAACATTTAAGAAAAAAAAGTAAAGCTTAACTCATAGTAAGAATTCATGAATGTTTAAGTTGTTCTGTGAGCTTATTATTTTGGAATATAAAGCAGCTGAGACTCAGGAAAATTATAGACTGCTTTTTCTAAGGTAAAGAACTGTAGGATAATTTTACTTCTTTCTCAGCTGGAATTCCATACATATTTTCAGCCCTCTGTTTCAGGGCCTAAGAGCTATAAACTTATTACTAACAGTTCTGCCTTTGCTTTCAAGTTTCTTTTAAGCATATTTCTTTTACTGGTTGAAGTTCGGTTGTTGCAGACACTCTCTTATCCTGAACTTCTGATGTGTTCCTCCCAACAGTTGAAGTACTTAAGGGATCGTGTCTTTCTTACATAAGTCCTCTCCTCTAAAACCTTTACGTCTCAGGCCTGGCCCATGCACTCTGCGTAGGGTTCTGTGTCCACCTTGAAGGTAATCTGGGATCTTCAGCAAGTCTGACCCCTGCCCCATTATGTCTGAGCTGGTACCAGTCTTGTCAGCAAACATTAAAAATAGGTTGGCCTCACTCTCATAAAATGAGTACTTGTAGGGAATATAGTTAAATAGCCCCTTTTGAGACTTTCCCCATAACCCACTGCTTTCAAATTCAGCACGTGGTTTACTAGGAATAAAGTAAGAGAAACTTCCGAACATAGTGTTCTCTCTAAAACTCCCATGATTAAGAAGACACTTCATAAATCAGCCTCCTTCCCAAAGCTTTCAGATCTATTGTACCTTGTTATTTTGTAACTAGTCTGCGGAGGACGCATACATAGCTGAAGTATGTGGCAGCTGTCTATTAAGGGCTGCAGGTGATGACCACCATTTACTTTGGTTTATTAGGGATGAAAATGATGGAGTGTTAGAATAAGCCTCAAAAGCCAGTACAAAACTACTCTTGTCCTTTTTTTCAGTATTTCCTGCTGCTGTTAGTGATGGTTACTCTTACCCAGATAAATTCAAGCTCAAGTAATATTTCTTTTGTATTTTCTATTTGCATCAGCCATCCACTTGGATAGCAGTAACACTGTCTTTTTTAAATAGATTTATTCCTGAGTTGTACTGCAAGCCTGAGACTTCATTCATTCAATCGCCAATTGACATTTAGCACCTTCTGATTGAGCACCTTCTGTGTGCCAGGTCAAGGGCTACTAACTCTCATAAATACGTTTACTTTGTGTGGTTGCCCAGACTCTTGGCATCAGACATATTTGCATGAGTGACACCAAAACCTAAACGCACACATGCTCTTAATGAATGAAAAATGACCATCATGCTTGTCGTTTCGTGGTTGAGAAGAGACAACAGCTTTGTAACAATGGGGGGAAAGGATGTGTATTTCAAAATCTTTCTCTTCGTGTAGAGTTGCTTAGAAAATGGTCAGTGGGACAGTTCTGAACATTTCACATCTGTGACCCATTGTTTATTAGATCAACACAGGCCCTTCCGGAAGCCCAACACAGGCCCTTCTGGAAGCCAACAGGAAATCACGAGGGATGCATTCTGAATGCCTAGCAATTTTCTGGGCCGTTTTGTTTTAATTGTGCTGACATCTTGCCCCTACAAATGCTATTGGAAGCTGTACTTAGAGGAAACTTTGATAAGACAGTGAGTTCTCCGCAGCCTAGATCCTGTTGTCCCAGAATGTAATCCATGCTGGTTCGGTTCACCTCGGTGTAGATGGGACCCCCCTCCCTTCTGTAACAGAGAACGCAAGCACCCGGTGATCTGACTCCCAGCACCTGGAACGTGTCAGACACAGCAAAAGTGCCCATAAATGTTGGCTAATTTAATTCACTGAATGAATGGATCTCAGTTGCAGGATGCTGGTATGTTTGATAAGCAGGCCTGTCATCACACTGGGGCTGTTTCTTAAACTTTTTTGTCCTGAGTCAACAGTAGGAATACATCACCATCCAAAATACACACATACACGGATGTTTAACTGAAGCCAAAGATTTAGAAACTGTCCTACCAATGCTGCTCCGTGTGAACAAGCTGCATTCTGACCTGTTCTATTCTGTTGTATCTTATTCTATTTCATTTTTTTTTAATTTAGTTGCTACCTACTAAATCAATTTCATTTCCCACTAATGGGTTATAACGCACAGTTTTAAAAAACAATTTACTAAACCACTATAGTTAGGGGATTACGAAAGGGAACAGAATGTATAATTGAATTAATGGTCCAGTCTTACCTCAAAACTCCTACTCTAAAGAGAGCACACAGAAAACTCTAGAAACTGGAAATGCTTCTTTCTACTTCATTCCCTGAGTTTCGTTATTAATCGTCTATAATATAGAACTGCTTTGGGAAGAAAATTAAAAGCTGCACATGCTAGAAATTTCTCTTTAAGATTTTTTTCCTTCACTTTATAAATACCTCTAGGCTGTTTATTTTATATTGATATTTCTATTTATGATTTAAAACCCCAGCCAGCTCTGAGATGCTGTGGAGAATGGTTTCCTTCAACAAGTACTTTTTATCACCTGTTTTGGTTAAGACGTACATCTAAAATGATAAGATCTGTATTGTAGAGTATTTGTAAACAAGGTGACTTCTGGGATTCAGGTACCGATCAGGTACAGCAGAGCATGTGGAATTACTTGCTAGATATAGTTAGTACTCAAAAAAATAGAGAACTAGCCGACACTTATCCCCACATAAAGTCTGAAGTTTTGAAAAAGATACGTGTAGGAGATGTGTGGTCGATAAAGATACACACAGCCCGACATCAGCTAAAGTGGCGAAAACAGATTTTTTCAGTAACTGCTGACTTGTAAGGGTCGAGCTGCGCTCCAGTGTGATTTGCTGATGGGTGACGGGGCCTCTTTACAGGAAGGATGAGGGGGTGGGAAAGGGGTGATGGGGGCTCAGTGGGGTCAGGGAAGTGAAACATTGGTCTATGTAACACCATCTGGTTTGCCGACTGGTGCTTATGGAATAAGTCAGGTCCTCCCGTCCACAGAGGCTGTGAGCCGGGGCCCCGTCCTCCGGTGTCGCTGGGACCAGCATCCGTTCTCCGGGCAGCCTTGAGTTTCTCAGGGGGCCTGGGGTTGCCTAGGGATGCAGGCTTGAGCTGTTAGAAACTATGTCTGTCTTTGTTCAGGTCTCTGTGGGCCCAGCTGGGGGCCTGGTGGAGAGGAGGACCCAGAGGAGCCTGACTAGGGTTTGGTCCCAGAGAGAATCCTGTCCCTTCTCCCTCCTTCCCGTGTGAGCAGCAGGGACTCATTGGACTGGTGGCATCTGGAAAAGGAAGTGAGGACGTTTGACCAGCTTCTTCTGGGCATCGTTCTCAGGACACAAATGTTCTGTTGTGTCAAAGGGCCTCAGAAGAGCCCACCTAGAGTTTGGTCACAGCAAGAATCTTTGTCAGTATATTGGCAAAGCTCTCACGAAATAAACCCCAAGGAATTTCTCTTTTGCCCCAGCGTGGCTCTTAAAGCAAACAGACTTTTTTTTTTTTTTTTTAATGTAACATATAACACACGGAAGTCAGTGAACTAGGTCTCCACTGAGGAAGGAAGTGGCTCCATCGTTTACGGACAACCTTCTGTTCGAGACACCCCACTGCATTCCTTCACTGACTCCTGAGGAAACCCCACAGCCTGCTTTCTCGGCGCCTGTTCCCGTCCTTCCGAGTATCGCTGGAGAAACTGCAGAAACAGGCAGACATTCTCGAGGTCTGCACCTAGGCCGCAGTGATGTCCCCTGCCCGAGCGGTGACAGAGGCTGCGTCCACCCAGCCGGCCACTGCAGGGCTTGTTCTGCCTGAGAAGGTCTCCTCGTCCCTCAGATTATCCAGCCAGGACCCTGAAATCTGGGGTGTTTTCTCTCTTTGACTCTTGAATCCATCTAGAAGTTACCACTGAGATGGCCTGAAGTGTTTCCAGGGCAGAGGTCCAGCTTCTTCCCAGAGAAACAACCAGTTAGGCTG